TAAAATATTAGCTCTTGAAAATATTAGCTCCCTATATCCAGGTCACCTCTTTCTTCTCCTTCAGGGGAAGACACAGCCTTTCCCAGTATGGAGCACCTACTGACTGAGCTCTGCACATCCCGTCCCTTTCCAACACGCCCTGCAAATCTAGTGCTATCATCCCCATCTCACCGGTGACGAAACACGCTCAGCAAGATGAGTGAATTGCTGTCACTCGGCTGACAACAGGCAGAACCAGAGCTTCAACCAGAGGGTATATGACCCCCAAAGCCACGTCCCTCCACAGTCCCTGACCACTAGACACAAGCATATGCAGCCTGGAATTCTGAGGGTAAGCCGGCGGAGTCCAGGCTGCTTGAGCCCGAAGGGTCTCTCCTCCTGCTGAGAAACATAACTCCACCTGGGTTGTTTGTCCTGACTGTGAATAAAACAGTTGTCTCTTCATTCTCCATAGCAAGGGCTGCATGTGAACTAGAAACTGAAGTTGGCCATGGGCTCAACAAGCTAACCATACAATGAAGGTTGGGTATTGGGAGCTACATGGAATAACAGGGCCCTGGAGCTAAGGGAGGAAAACTAGGTCAGGGGAGGAAGTTCCTCCAGCCTTTTAAGCAGTATGCTCCCCATCTGGCAAACACACACACACTCACGCACGCACCCCCTATACATGCACAGCCCATACACACACACACCATATACATGCACACACACAGACATATACACATACACATGCACACACATACAATGTACATGCAAACTCCATGCACACACACATACGTAAACATGCACACACATACCATATACATGCACACATACACATGCACACACTCATACATACACAATGTACATGCACACTCCATACACACATGCACACACACGCACACACACCCTATACATGCACACCTCATGCACACAAACATGCACACACACACTTATACACCTATACCTCATGCACACACACATGCACACAGGATACACACACCCTATACATGGACATCCCATGCATACAACCCTATACATACACACTCCATGCACACAAACACGCAAATATACACACATGTGCATACACACATATCATGAATGCACCCAGGCACATGTACACACATATACACATATGTACACACACACACAAGCACACGTATCCTCTCTCATTCCAGGACCATATCCCTCCCCTGAGGCCAAGGTCAGTCCAAATTCTCATTTTAACAGCCAAACTGCAGAGGATAGCAGCCCTACAACCCCAGCAAATACAGAGAAGGGAAGTTCAGGGTTTAGACAGGGAAAGGACCCAATCCCAATTTCACCTCTCTGGCTTAAGATGTCATTTGGGGCAGAGTACACAAAAAAACTCCGGAACATCATCCCTGGATAAACTCAGCACTTTCTGTGTGTGCCTCTAGTGGACAGGTGCCCAACTTCCAGGGGTCTCTCTGATAGTCCCAGGCTGCCCCCAGTTTAGGGGGAGAGGGTTCCACGTGACCTAGGCTGGCCAATTCAGTCACTACATTCACTGGTCAGTGATTGGTTCAAGAATGGGCATGTGACCCAAAACAAGCCACTGAGAACCTTCCCTGCAACCTCTGTGTGAGAGTCTCTGGAAAATTAGCTTGCAGCCCCCTCTTTCCTGAGGTCATTGAACTCATATGATGAAATTCCAGAGCTGCTGGTAGCTGTCTTACTGCCAAGTATGGAAAGCTTGCCTGTGAACAAAAGCAAAAAAGAGAAAAGCAGATAGGAAAAAGAGGGAAGCAGGGCAGGAGAGACCACGTTGGAATGAAATCCTTCAAATCCCTGGATCCAGCTATACCTGAAGCTGGTAAACTTTATTAAGGGATAAGAGCTAATCAATGAGTCAATTTGAGTCACTGTCACCTGTAATCACTACTACTGACTTGGGTCTTAGGTATCCTCCTCTTATAAAGCTACCTGACTATCACATTCATTCTTTCATTGTCCCCTGCATATATTCTCTCCTACTATCCTATAGTCTTAGGGCAGAGACTGCAGATCTCCATGAAATCCTCACAAAGCCCAGCATGGTTCTGGCCACCTGGCAGACTGACCATCAGTGAATAGAGAAGAACAGGGCTGGGGCTCTCCTTTGGGAAAGCAACAAAGAATAAGCAAATCACTTGAGTTTGTGTCCTTTTAAAACAGAATGGAGACCAGAGCCACAGTCTGTGGTGGCCAGTGTTGGGGTCCAAGCTGTCCTAATATTCTAATCTCTAACCCTCCCCTCCCCCCCACTCCCAGTGACTTCAACTAGGTTTAGGGCTACACACGGGCCAACTGAGCCCGGGGATAATAGAAAGAGGCAGAAATAGAAAATGAAGTCATACCCTGGCTGCAGCGAAGGTCATAAAAATAGCTAACACTGCAGGGAGAAACAAACGACTGTTATCAAACAGCCAGAAGACCCAGGATTTATTTGGGACTTTTGCCAGAACCATGGGAACTAAGGGCCCTGTGGCTAGTAACCCACCGGTACTCGACCGGAACAGTCTCTCCGGACCCGCTTTATTCCAGCTAGATTTTCTCTTTGGGTTCACACACCAACAGTATGTACTGGTCACTGGACACTTTTTTTTTTTATCCTAAAAGGGACACTCATGTATAGACCACTTACCTACCCTGTTTTTAAAAACAGAAAACAAAAAAGCAATTGAATGCACAAACTGAACTATTGCAGAGGAATGAGAAGAAAGTAATATTTTAATGCACGTTATGTGAATTTGTGGACGCTCAGGCAGGACTGCATGAGGAGCAGTAATGGGGTCGTCAGGGAGTTACTCCTTTGGACTTCAGGGTAATAAGAGATCCAGAAGCAACCTCAAACAAGACATGCAGGAAAATCAAAGAACAGAGCCGAACGCTAAATAAGAATTACCACTGCATCAATCTCAGCCACTGCTGAGATTTTGTGTAACCAGGTTCTCTGTGAATGTCAGTGGGGTATCTGCAAGTTGTGTAAGATGTGACACAGGCTTCGTCATACGGATTGCTAGACATCCCGCCTTCCTGGACTCCATCTACCAAATGCCAACCGTGTCCCTTCCAATCACTGCAACAAACAAAGCCCATGCCCTCCGTTGGTACAAACGCCCCCAGAAGCATCCCCTCTGAGGCCCACAGAGGTAAGCTGGAGGAACCACAGGGTTAGAGGTGTTGGCCTCCCAGACTTGAGCGTGACAGAGCTACAGGAGGAAGAGGAGGAAGGGAGGCTTGTAGTACTCTCCCGTAGTAGTCCGTCCACAGGGGCAGAATGCACCACCACCCAGGGGTGCACCTCATCCTGGCCTCAGCCTCCCCTATAGGCGGAGCCTGTGGCATTGGCGGGGGGCAGCTGGATCCAGGGGCCAAGTCTGAGCCGGGAAGGTTTGCCAGTTCAGGTGACTCAAGGTCTCCCAGCTCACGGCCCTTTGCTTCTGCATTTCCCCTGGTCTGCCAGGTGGTCCCAAGCGAGCAGGACACCCCTCCCAGGGTTGCGGCTCCCGGTTAGCAAGACCCCCACCGGTACGTAGTTCGGCCAGGCTTGGTGGGGAAGGGGCGACAGGAGTAACTGAACAGGACACAGCGAGTTCCGGGGGGTGGGGTGTAACAGGTGAAGGTGAAGTGCTCATCTGCATACCATCTGTCAACAGTGCCCTGGGGGGGTGGTCTCAGACATCCCAAGCTTCTTCTAACCAGGCCTGTTATGTCCACATCCTCGCACACCGAGGTGGACAAGGGCTGCAGGCCAGCAGGGGCCTGGGGATCAAGAGGGCGCAGACTGACCCTCTCGGTGTGTAGCGATTCCCTTCTGGGTAGGGTGCGGATGGAACAGTATGACAGGGGCCTCTGGTTACCCCCAACCAGCTGCACAGCGGCCTGCCTGGCCCCCAAAACAGCCTGGGCGTTCAGTCTTCAGAGCATCTTCCATACCCACCCAGCCTTGCTGCACGTGACTGGGTTCACAGAACACCCTTCCATGTGAGCAGGTTCTAAGGTAGGCAGGTGATGTAAGAACCCGCATATACCCCAAATCGCGCTCCAAAGCCGACCCTCACATATGCACCGTGTCACCATCCAATACAGCAGCTTTGTCCCCTGGCCTGGAAACAGATCTCTAGTTTTTCAGTTGGGGTGTGTGTGCGGGGCGTCTACCCCTGGAGCTGCCACGTGGAGAGGAAGCCCAGGCTGCACAGAGAGGTCGCATGTAGGTGTCCAGCTCATGGCCCCTCACGGACGTCCCAGCCAACGGCCACCATCAGCAGCCAGACCCCTCGGTGAACCAGCTTTCAGATGATTTCAGTCCCCTGCTTTTGAGGCACCAGAGTGTTCAAATCTTCCCCGTGAGGCTTCAGACATCACAGAGCAGAGATAAACCATCTCCGCTGTGACGTTAGCTGAATTCCTAGCCCACAGAATGGGGTGTAAATGTTCTTCTCTTCTCTTTTTTTTTTAAGTAGGCTTCACGCCCAGTGCAGAGCTTGAACTCACCACCTTGATGTCGAGACGTGAGCTGAGATCAAGAATTGGATGCTTCCGCAACTGAGCCGCCCAGGCACCCCTAAATTTTGTTCTTGATGCTTCGAGAGCACTCTTTGGTATGCATTAAGAGGCAGCCAATCTGTAGGAGACCTTTAAACATCTCAGTAACACTCAGCTGGGCCAAAGGCACTGACAGTGGCACAACAGAACTGAGGCAAGCAAGTCAAGGAAGAAGCAAAATCAAACTGCAAGCTCGATCAGGGCGCTGGCTTCGAGACCGGAGGCGTGGCCCCGGCCATTTCAATGATGTGTTGTGAAGAAACGTGTGTAGGTTAAACGCGTGCTGGATTCCACCAGGCGAGCTCTGGGGAAGACTTGTGGCTTGACAGATGATAAGCCGAATTGTCTGAAAGGACACACCAGGGTTTATACAAGATGGTTCAATGGAGTCAGCAATGAGTGAGCTCGGGGACCTCGGCTGTGCTCCGTGGCAAACGAGACTGGCAGGCCGTGGAGACAGCTGTGCCCTGTCAGATGATGGTGCAGCCAAAGCAGTACCGGTCCGGGTAGTCCACCACGTGTACCCTGTGGTCAGTGCCATAGATGTAGTAGACATATGTCTGTCCCCGGTACCAGTAATGGACTTCCGTGACGGGGATCAGCTCAATGGTCTGGCGCTGGGGAAACAACGGGCCGAGAAAAACTTCAGCGTTCGAGTCACTTGCCTGCCCAAGAATCTTCAGTAGCTCCCTACTACTCTGTGGGATGAAGTTTATGCTCTGGAGTTGGCGTTTTGGCTCCCATATGCCTTTCCAGATGTACCTCATACTACACTCCTTCAAACACACTGAGCTCTGGCCCAAACCGACTTCTCAGCTTTAGCCACTATCTGATTCTATGTTTCAGAAAGGGGGGGGGGGGTGGAGGAGGGAGTCATCCCCAGGGACGTCCCAGGGTGTATGGAAAGCCACCAGCCAAACAGGACATCTTCCAGAAGCATTAATTTTTAGATGGGGAGGAAGGGCAGAGAAAGGTGGAAGAGAAAGTCATTTTAAACATTTTTGTATTAAAACAACCATGGAGGGGTGCCTGGGTGGCTCAGTCAGTTCCGCGGTCAACTCTTGATGTCCGTTCAAGTCATGACCTCCCAGTTTGTGAGTTTGAGCCCCATGTCAGGCTCTGTGCTGGCATCGAAGAGCCTGCTTAGGATTCTCTCTCCATCTTTCTCTGCCCCTCCCCCATGCTCTGTAAATAAATAAGTTTAATTTAAAAAAACAACCATGGAGATGTTAGGGAGTCCACGACACAATCTGAACTAAAATATAAGGTTAAACGTTGACACCAAAGAAATTCCAAAGTCTGCTAGTCTGCTTCAGGCTACTTTCACAGGACCCTCCCTCTCCCACCATGGTTTTGCTCTGACCTCCCTTTGAAAGCAGTCCTTCTCAAACACCCCCCTCCTTTAGAAACAGGGAAACTGAGGCCCATGGGCTCACGGAATTTCAGGTTGGGAACATCATCCAGGTCAAGGTCCGTGTGGGTAGTGCTCTACACTCCTCCCAGCACGTGGCCTGTACCTGAGAGCCTGGGGCACTCACTTCCCCCAGCAGAGCGGTCCTGAAGTGTCCCATTCTCTGGCCCCTCTGCTGAGCAGTTACTCTACAACCTTCCAGAATTGCAGGGCCCTGCATAGAACGTGGGAGACCACCTTGGGAGAGAACACGGGCGTCCAGCTGAAACACCCACCCCCATTAGCGCTAGGTACTGCTGTGTTGGGACAGCTCCATACAGGGGACACAGCAAAGTCACTCCTCATCACTCAAGCTAAGCTTCCTTGGGGATGTACTGCAGGCCAGGCTCTGTGTCAAAACCCCAACGTTCTCCAGCACAAGCTGCTTCTTTGTCCCAGACTCACATCTTGGGGGATCCCAAACCCAGAGGGAAGTGGTGTGGATGGCCCAGGGTTAGACCTTCCTCCTTCAGGATGTTCCATTCCTTGGGAATAGCTCCAGCTCTCTCAGTGTAGGTGAAGGTCCAGAGGCCTTCAGGGAAGGAGAAACAGGCCAGGGAGGGGGGCTGTGAAAAAAAGGACCCCTGTTCCCCTGGAGGGGCGGCTGAAGGGCAGTGTGATATTGCGGCAGGAAGAGGGGACTCAGAGTCAAGGAGCGCATCTTCCATGAAGTTTTCTGTGCCATCTTAACTTCCTTTCTCTAGGAAATGGGGGTGAGAGCTCCTATGCCACAGGGTTGTTGAGATAACCGAATGAGATCCAGAGACTTCCCAGAAGCCAGAAAGTTGTCTCTGAGTGGTAGTTTTGGAAATAAAAGGTAGAAGACCCCTCTTTGACGTTTTGGTATGGAGGACACAAAATGAGAACCAACAGGCAAGAGGAGGTGGGAACCCATATCACTGCTCCAAACGCCTGGGCAGTATGGTCAGGGCCGCTCTCATTTCCAGGCTTTTCTACCAGAACCAAATGGAGAGCAACACCAATACCACCCTCTCCTGCCTCCCTTGGCTTCTGATGCAAAAGGTCTTCAGGTTTGAGGCTACTGATTGGTTAGCACATCAGCTGCCATCAGGTGGCTACCTTGTAATCAGCCACGGGTCTGTTGACACGCCTTGGTCATGCCCCCAGGATGAGCAGATTCCAAGTCTGAGAGCAAGAGCGGGGCACGGGGCACGGTGTCATGAGGGGTGTGTCCTCGGGCTGACTCCACTCGCTAACTTCTCAAACCTGAACAAACTATCCTCGGACACCTTTGTCTCCAGATGCAGGACCAAAGGACAATTTGAGGAAGGGATTCACAAGAGCCCTTTTCTCTCAGTGCTAATCCCTTTTAACACGACACACCCGTCTGCCCCTGGCTTACATTTCCCTGCTCCGGGACTGGTTCACAGACGGCTTGTGTTGCCCAAGACAAGACTACGCTCTAGGGGAAGGCCGCAGGAGACCCAGGCCTGCCACCAACATCCTGTGTGATCTCGGGCAGGTCACTTCCCCTCTTCAGGCCTCAGTTTCCCCAGCTGTCAAAATTAAGGGCCCAGAAAGGATTCAAATTATCAGTCTCAGAAATAAAAGAATCTCAGGATAATCACGAGTGTCACAAGCTGACAGGCCCATTCCTAGAGTAGACACCTCAATCCTGGGGGCTCTCCATGTGACCCACACCGTGAATATGAGCTCCGCAAGAGCAAAGTCCCACAGAGACGATGTTCTGGGTCTTCCATGAACAAGGTTCTTGTCCTACCCATGCTCCTGCAAATCTGCCTCTTCTCTGCTGCTCACAGCCCATTGTCCTTCCTCAGAGCCCTGTCCTTGAGTTATGGAGCCCATGTCTCACAGAGAATGCACAAAGTGCCTGCGAAGCTGTGCCCAATGTTTGGACGGGGCTAAACAGCAAGAGGCCAGTTCCCTCGTCTCTAGGCACAGAGCTGCTGAGGTGTAACAAGCGCACAGAGGTCCCCTGGGACAGGGTGGTGGCTGGGCCCTCGCCACACCTCACCCTTGTGTGACCCCTGCCCCTCCCATGCTGGCTCCCCTAGTCCTTTACAGGTTCCTCCTGGGAGCCCTTCCTTGACAAATGTCCTGCACACAAGCTGTCATCTCAAAGCTGCTTCTGCAGAGCCCAACCTAAGGCAGGGTCCAACCCAGCTCATTTGAAAGATGAGGACACCAAGACCTTCAGGAGGGGAGGGCGTGGCTCAGAGCCACGTGTATGTGCCAGAGATGACAAGCAGGTCCCATCCCTGCAGTGTCTGGCCCCAGATCCCCCTTCGCTGATAACCCCATAAACCTGCACTGGCTTTCAAAGAGCCGCTGGTGTGCCTTGAGTGCAGTGAGTAATAACATTTGACTTGGAGCTAGGAAGTAGGTTCTACTCCTGGGTTCTTGCACTAAGAAGCTGTGTGATTTTAGGTAAATTGCTTCCACTCTCTGAGCTTCCTTTGATTTAATGGAAAACTCGTGGGTTCAGGCTAGACTAAGGGGTAGCTGACATCACCCCACAGGCCAAAGCCAGCCCGTCAGCCCATATGGTATTCCTAGCATTTTTAAAGTTTTGTTCTCAATCTTGAAAAATTGGAAGGTTTCCTATAAAAGTCTGGCTTTCAGAGGGTCCAAAATCTCTGCCCCTGTGCCTGCACAAAGATGAGTCGTGGCTGGCTCCTTTGGAGAAGACGGCTCTCTCACTCATGTTACCACCCGGCCGTGGCAGGTCTCTGAGTTTGCGGTGCCCCCAATCCAGCTCCGAGATGGGATTCATTACCTTTTAATTAAATGCATCCTTCTCTCCCCTGCAAACAGGGGAGATGTGAAGAAAGGGAAGGGGACATACTCATTGCAGAGGGACCAGAAAAAGGGACATTTTGAGCGGCAGTTTCCAAGCACTTAAAGCAAACCCTCTGAAGGAGTGTTAACGTCTCTTTTTCACTGGTGAGAAACCAGACTTCGGGGAGGAGGAAGTAGCTGGCCCAGGAGAATGTCAGGACACAGGAGAACCTGGATCTAAGCCTATTAGACTCAGGGAGCTCGGCCCTGGCCATTCCAGAGGCCAAACCCCCATCTCCTTCAGGGACCCTCATCAAGCAGCTGGCTGCAGGGACCATTCAAAGCTGCAAGAGGCAACATCGCCACCTAGTGGCCATCCCAACACAGCACGAAAGCAAACTAACCCTGGGGGCCTCCACCGCTCCCCAAGGGAGGCGGGAGAAGACAGGCCTTGGATTTAGAAAGTGCCCTGAAGGGCAGAACTCTAGGTGCCAGACTTGCGTAAGCCCTGAATCCTGAACTTCCCCACCTGCCCCTCTCTGAAGATTCTAACCCACGAGGTTAAAATCAAGATCTCGCTGCCACACTCCTGCTTGAGACCCTACAATAGCTTCCAGTTGCTCTCAAGATAAGAATCCTAATCTTACACAATTTCCAGTGGTCCCACCTTCTGTGGAGGCCCCACAGTGCTCTGCTCTCTGCCCTCCAGCCACACGAGTCTCAGGTCAGTCTCCAGTACTGACCCCCTTCCTAAACTGGGGCTCCTGTCCTCCACCCTTCCCCTAACTGACGCCTTCCTGCCCTTGTCTGGAAGGGCCCCCCCCCCCAGCAGGAGCCCCAGCCTGGCCCCAGAAGCCTGGCCTCCCCACAGCCCCCGACCCCTACCCCACTCACCTGCTGCAGGACTCGGGCCCTGGGGGACAGGGCAGCGCTGTGCTCCGCAATGCCCCTCTGGGAGGCCAGAGAGATCTCCCGCAGCGGGAAATCCACAATGGGGTACACCTGTGGGAGAGACAGAGCCGACCCGCTGCCCTGACCCAGGGTGTCAGCACCTGGAGCCTTACAGCTCTGATTCACACGGGGCACAAAGCAAGCCCAGACAGGGAAGGGCCCCCGAGGCCAGGAAGTGAGTGGGTGGGAATTGTTGAACCTCCAGGTGCCCCTGACTTCCTGGGGAATTCCAACCAAGAAAGCGGGGCTGTGGGACAGAGAGCAATCCTTCTCCTGCAGCCCACTCTCACCCAGCACACCTTTGCTGCTGACTCGGGCTTGGGGTGGGGCTTCCTGAAGGGTCATGCCTGAACTGAGCCCATAGGAAGTCAGATTGGGGCGAAGAAAGGCGGGTGAGGAATACTATGCCACCATAAAAAAGAAGGAAACCTTGCCGTGGGAGACAACATTGATGGACGTCGCGGGCATTATGCTAAATGAGATCAATCATTCAGAGAAAGACAAATACCATATGATCTCATTTATACGTGGAATCTAAAAAACAAACTCCTAGATAGAGAACAGACTGGTGGTTGCCGGGGCGGGGGGAAGGTGAGATGGGAGAAGGTGGTAAAAAGGTACAAACTTAGGTATAAAATAAGTAAGTCCTGAGGATGTGACATGGTGACGATAGTTAATAATACTGTGTTGTATATTTGAAAGCCACTAAGGCACTAGATCTTAAAAGTGCTAATCATGAGAAAATAAAAACTGTAACTGTGGTGAGAGATGTTAACTAGACATTGTGATGATCACTTCACCATACACACAAATATTGAATCACTGCGTTATACAGCTGAAACAAATATGATGTATGTCACTTGTGCCTCAACTTTTAAAAATCCACACCACAGTGGCGCCTGGGTGGCTCAGTCGGTTGGGCATCCGACTTCAGCTCAGGTCATGGTCTCGCAGTTCATGGGTTCGAGCCCCGCATCGGGCTCCGTGCTGACGGCTCAGAGCCTGGACCCTGCTTCGGATTCTGTGTCTCCCCCTCTCTCTGCCCCTTCCCTGCTCATGCTCTGTGTCTCTCTGTCTCTCGATAATAAATAAATGTTAGGGGCGCCTGGGTGGCGCAGTCGGTTAAGCGTCCGACTTCAGCCAGGTCACGATCTCGCGGTCCGTGAGTTCGAGCCCCACGTCGGGCTCTGGGCTGATGGCTCAGAGCCTGGAGCCTGTTTCACATTCTGTGTCTCCCTCTCTCTCTGCCCCTCCCCCGTTCATGCTCTGTCTCTCTCTGTCCCAAAAATAAATAAACGTTGAAAAAAAAAATTAAAAAAAAAAATGTTAAAAAAAAAAAAATAAAAAATAATCCATACTATAAAGTGAAAGAAGCCAATCTGAAAAGGCTACATACTATGAATGAAAGAGAGAGAGAGAGAGAGAGAAAGAGAAAGAAGAGAAAAAGGCTGAGCACCTGGCCTCTCTCAGAGAAAACAGGATGACCCTGCTCAGATATCCCGTAAAGGCCAAGTTCCCTGCCAAGACCTACAGAAGAGGTTGGCAAATCTGTTTTGCAAACGGCCACACAGTAAGTATTTTAGTCTTTGTAGGCCAGAGGGCCTCTGTCTCAACTACTCAATTCTGCCCTTGCAGCACGAAAGCAGCCACAGACAATAAGTAAACAGACAGGCATGGCTGTGTTTCAATAAAACCTTATTTATAAAAGCAAGGCCAGGGCCAGATTTTGCCAACCCCTGTCCTACCGGACTCTCCCTGATCTGGTTGCTGACACCTCTCATGTCTTAGCTGCTTGCTCTGCCCGACTCAAGTCCCTCCTGTCCCACTGCCCTCTGCTGCTCCCTCTGCTGGACCCCTTGGCTCGAGTCCACATGGTCCACTCCCCCACCGCACCGTTCTGGTCTTTGCCCAGGGTCACTTCCAGGCCACCAGCTGAAACCACACCCCTCCATGTGTCTTTTCCTGCCTGCATATTTTCAGTGGCCCAGTGGCCCTTACAACCATCTAACATTGGGGTGGAATACTATTACCTTCTCCCTCATCGGACTATGAGAGATCTACAAGGGTGAGCGTTTTGTTCCACGGTATCCCCAGGGCCTAGAATAGTGCCTAGTATGGGCAGAGGGTCTCAAGGCTTGTGTGAGGGTGTGGGGGGAGGAGGAGGAAACGCAGGGTCGAGCATGTGAAATTCAGGGGACAACTGGCCCCACAGGCCCCAGCAGTCACTCTCCTGCTTGGCAGCAAGCACCATCATCACCCAGCCCGTCTTTGTCTTTCCGAGTGAACGCAGCACACACAGGAGGGGAGGGCGAACCCAGCTTCCATGCGAGGGTCTTCGAATCCCTCCTTACCGCGGTGTCTTCGTCCTTAAAGAGGCTTTGTCCTTTGGCTTTGGCAAGGAGCTCCCTGGGGCAATTCAGCCGGTGCTCAGATACAAACTCAAACAGGCTGTTTTTCCTGGAAGTGCAGAGGATAGGTTTGGAATCGGACAGATGTGGGCTGGAGGGTTTGCATGACTACCGGTGGGGCCTTGGGAAAGTTCTTTAGCCTCTTTGGGCCTCAGCATCCTCATCTGTACAGTGGGAAACTGAAGTACTGACAGTTCTGTTCTATTACCTCATTCTGTCCTTGCCTGTGAAGCCCTTAGGGGCCCAACAAGGGAAACCCATAGCGCATGGGAAGCCTTCCCTGACATGGGAACTTAAGACACAGGGACTCTAGTCCCAGAAGGGAAGGCCCAGGCACTGAGTGGCTGCTGCACTAGAAACTGGCAATGTCAGAATTTGAACTCGGGTCTGTCCGTTGTGGAGCATGCCAGCATCCAGCCACCCACCCTGCCTCTCCCCAGGGACCTCCCCCCTCCCAAGTGGCCTAAAGCCCTTTTCTCCCAGCGCAGAACCCTGCGTTGTGAAAGCCCCAACCAAGTGGAGTTTCTCTGCAGAAACCAGTCCAGGCCATGTCCCCTGGCCTCCCCCATGGGGCCACAGCCACATACCACATGATGACCAGCTGGATGAAGTGCAACAGTCTCTTCTCCCCCTTGCAGGTGGCACAGGTCTTGCTTCCCCTCCCTGAGCACGTGCTGCACCTGAGAGGGGCACATGGTCGGCACCACTCACGTAAGTCACGGGGTCCTGGCGGCTTCCAGCACGCCCACCCCCAAATCCTTCCTCATAGAGGTGGACTAAGGTGAACACCACTGGCTTCCACTCCCCACCATCTAGACCTCCTGCTTCTGGTGGCAGTGCCCCAGTTTCCCTTTGGAGACCACCCTTTCCCCACCCAGCCCACATGGATTGTGGGCTTTCCCCCACCCCTTCTATGACTAGCTTCGGACCTGGGCGTGGCCAGTCAGTTCAGTCCATCTCTATGGCCACAGTGGCTGACACAGATATGAGCACATGACCCAGTTGAGTGCAATGAGATCTGCCCTGTAACTGTTTCTGAAACTATCAGGAGAGGGATATCCTTATCTACTAGCAGGAGAGGGATATCCCTATCTACTGAGGCTACTACGCTTGGAGCTGTTGGCTGTCCCCTCTTTTACCACAAGAGACAGCTTGCCTGAGAATGAAGTCAACACAAAGACCCTCCGGGTGAGGGACTGAGACAGAGTCCTGGTGACATTGCTTAAGCACCTGGATCCAGCTGTACCTGCTGTACCTGAAGCCATCCAGAAATATAATCCTGGACTTTTCTTTCACAAGGGCAGGGTTTTTTGTTAAGCTCATTTGAATTAGGATTCTTTCACATGTAAATAAAAGAAACCTGAGTGAACAGAGATGGAACTCTGTTGATTGTTCAGTCAATCAAGCAACCTCCCTTGACTCCTGCACTCAGGCCCTGCAGTGAGTTATAAATAAGAATTTGCCTAGGCCCCGATCCTCAGAGAGTTAAGGATATCTGTTTCGAGTGGTTTCCTGTATTCATTTCCCCACCATGTGGGCGGGAAGAAGTCTCCCCTCCTAAAACCCTCCCTCCCTTCCTCTCTGCAGCACTTCATTCTTTACGTCTCTACCCACAGACTGCTGGACGAGTTCTAGTCTCTTCTTGAAGTATCAAGCCTGGAGGAAGGCTCACCCACTCCACAAATATTTACTGAGCACCTACTACACACACAGCTCTGGGGCACAGGAGCGACAAGACAGGGTACGTGACTGCCCTCCAGAAGGGCAGACAATGAAAAGCAAGAGAGCTGGTAAGGGAGCGCTCTTCACCTCGGTGCCGGGGAGACCCGCTCATACCTCCGCCTGCCAGACCCCGAGCACATCTGACATCTCCGGGACTGCTTGGCTTTGCGCTTGGCTCCACTGCAGGAGGGACACCTCACCTGCGGACACACCACGGCCTCAGCCCCTGCTGGCCTCCCAGGGAAGGGGGCAAAGGGCATCCTGAGACCTGGTTCAAATCCCAACCCGGTGATCTTGAACAAGCTGCTTGTCTCCCTGGGCTTCAGCCCCTTCATCTGTAAGATGGAAGGGGAACACTGTACCTTTGGGCCCCACCAGCTGTTGCCTTCAAAGATGCTACAGCCCTACATCTGTGTGTCTCCTGAGACATCATCCTCTCCTGCTCCTCTCTGATCCCCATGACTCCTGAGACTCTGCCCTGACCGAACAGCCATGGCCAGAGGGACTGGGAAGAGGGGCGGGCTGGCTGAGGAGCCTGGAGTTGGGAATGGGGAGCTCAGTCTTGGAGAGGCCCCCGGGCTTCGTTCCCACAGTTGGCTCACAAAGGCCTCTGGGGACATTCCAGGGAAGAGGGAAGGGAAGAAGGGGAGCAGGGGTGGAGGGAGGAACACAAAAGATCACAGGGAGGGGCTCCACAAAGGCTGCAAGGGGGTGCATGGCAGGAGCAAGGGCACAGGAGACAGAGACGGGTGGGAGGGCATAGGCGGGCGCCACAGGTGGCCTGTGAGTAGGCAGAGGAAGGCACACAGCAGGTGGAAGGTGGGCATCCAGAGGGTGGAAGGCAGGTGGGCAGAGGGAAGGATGGAGGAAGGCATGGCTTAACGTGGCGAGTGGTCAATATGTGTCCAAAAGATCAGGAGCAAATGGGGAGAGCTGAGGACACATAAGGGGCATGATCTGACTCCCAGTGTGGTGAGCAGCCCCGAAGGCTGATGGCACCAGAGCCTGGCAGTGTGCTTACAGACCTGTACTAGGTTGACCAGTATCTCCCCCACCACCACCCCCCAAAATTTATAGCTACCAGAACCTCCAAATGTGCCTTTATTTGGAAATAGTCTTTGAAGATAGAATTAGTCCAGATGAGGTCATGCTGGACGAGGGTGGGGCCTAAATCTAGCGCCTGGTGTCCTCACATTCTGAAGGAGCCCCAGGACACATGCGGAGAATGGAGTGGTGCACCTACCGGCCAGGGTGCACTGGACTGGGGGGCAGCTGCCAGAAGCTGGAAATGTGGCTCGGGGCCTCCAGAAAGAACCAACCCCATGGATACCTTGACTTTGGATTTCCAGCCTCCAGAAATGTGAGAGAATAAAAATCGGTTGTCTTAGCCCCCCACCCCCAGTTTGTGGTAATGTATCATGCTCTCTAGGACACAAACACAAGGCCCCCATCTATATTTTGCCTCTAGAAGCTCCCATGAACGTCACTTTTTCAGACTCATCTCCCCATCCTGCAAGTGCTGGTCGCTTGTCGGTCTTACCCAAAGACAGAGGGTTCCCAGTGGGAAGGCCCACCTCTTACGGGGTCCTCTTACAGGGCCCAGCACAGAGTGTGTACTCAGTCTCAGCAAATGTTTGTAAATGAATGAGAAAAAAGGAAAAGAATTGAAACCATAAACCATAAACCACTGCAGTGAACAAAGGCCAGTAGCAGACGCCCAATCCAACTTACCCATTTTGCAGGTGAGCAAATGGAGGCCCAGAAAGGGAGGACAACTTGCCTCAGGTCGCACTGTTAGTGGGGGAGCCCCATATCCAGGGCAGAGCCCTCTGTCCCCGCGTGGTGCCTCCTCCCACATCATCACTTACCCACCAGAGGCCACACAGGACTCACCATGCCGGCCCCGTGGCAGCCGCTGCATTTGTAACGCCCACGCCCATGGCATTTGTGGCATTCCTGAAAGTGAAAACCTCTCCTGGGCTCCAGTTTCCCAAGCCCCAGCACCTCCTGATTTCACCTGCCCCACACCCACTCCAGCCCAAACAGAGGTGCAGCCAGTAAGGCCCAGCGAGGGAAGGTAGCCATTCTCACTTGATGAGGATTGAATCCTCATCAAAGGGCCTTGAATGCCAAGCCAAGGAGGTCATGTTACAATTTCCTCAGAGCCCCAGCCCAGTCTGTTCTCTGAACTCCGTGCTCCCAGGCTACGCCACAAAGGCCGGCATCCTTGGCCCACTGGGTAGCTGAGAGGTCTTTTGGAACAGAAGCCATAAAAATTGCACAGCATTTCTGTGCAAGGCAAAGAGCTGGCTATTGGAATTTAATCACCAAATCAAAATAGCTTTTCCACTCCTGAGAAAAGAATGGAACCTCCTCCTGACCTCTCAAAGTCCTGGTCATCACGTGACACTATGAAACTCATAGGTTACGAGCTTGAATCAAGTTCTAAAGTGAAAATAAGGCAGGTAAAGAGATGAGAACAGAATAGGAAATATCACGTGTGTGGTTTTGTAATATGTTACAAAATATGTTACAATGTTGGCCTCATTGCAGGTCGCAATTACATTTCCATAGGACAGGACGGAAGTCCAATTCTGTCCCTTTAATGACTCTGCTGAAAATCCAAACAGTTTTTTTTTTTTTTTTTAAATACCAAATACCCCATAGTGTCTTTTTATTTATTTATTTTTTACATTTATTTATTTTTGAGAGACAGAGTGAGACAGAGCATGAGCAGGGGAGGGACAGAGAGAGAAGGAGACACAGAATCTGAAGCAGCCTCCAGGCTCTGAGCAAGCAGTCAGCATGGAGCCTGACGCGGGGCTCAAACCCACGAACCGTGAGATCATGACCTGAGCCGAAGTCAGACGCTCAACCGACTGAGCCACCCAGGTGCCCAAATCCAAACAGTTTGAACTTTATTTTGTATCAGTTTCATTCAGCACTTCAGCCGTTTACTGTGTACTGGTCGGGCAAAAATAAAAACACACTGAGGGTCTAGGAATGTGAATGTTCACTGTTTTTTTTTTTT